ATTGACTATCTATCACATTCCTTGTAACTCGACTTCAGAGTATCTACCAACTGGATTTGGTACTTGTCCATCAGTTCTGACCGTCAACCTTCCAATCTTTCGTCGTAGGAAGGTCAGATTTATACCTTGGACCCCATCCGATAACAACGCGACGTTGAATCTGCACTATAAATCACTCCAGATTCCGCCACCATTGAAATTCAACAAGACTGTCAGAAAGGCTTTAGACGCCACGTTTAAACGCCTTGATGGGGAATTCGTTGCCAAGTTGAGAAAAGTCAAGAGCGACATACGTAAAATCCATACAAAGAGCTCTACTTCAACACCAACTATTGTTGCTTCAATTGCCTTGGTATTTTCGGCAATTAACATTATAATCCTTGTTGGTATCTGCTACTACCAGCATCATCAGCGTCGTAAAGAACAAACAGCTGCACTGATTCATTACATCAAACGCCAAGGTCCCAGTCATCCGCATTTCCAGGAAGAAAAGGAACTTGAACCTTTACACAYAGATACTGTMCTTTGTCCAGATTGTGGAAGTCAACCAAATCTCCACACCATCCAAGAAGAGGAGTCCGATCAAGACGAAGCAGAATCCTCTGCTACACCTCAAGTTTGAACTCTGATAAGTAAACGTTTATATTCCAMGCTTACTAATCATTTAGCCCACGGTATCGACTACGGAACGGAACAATCTCACGAACTTTTGAGATTACAACCTCGTWATCTCAATATTTATTCATGTTTATTCATATTTAATCGCATGTTATTCATACGCCCCAACCTATTGTAAGGGGATTATATCATCATTCAATTTGTTTTTCAATAAGTATTGTTAGGTGGATTACCATAACGTCCATCTCAAGTTGCTGTTTACAACCACAGGTATTTCCTATTCTTGCTAAAATACACAAATCACAACTTCTCAAAATTTTTCCAAAACGTTTTCGCTTTCTACAGTGTTTGCATTGGCTGCCAATTTCACATATATCCTTGGAGACATTTCATTTTACAACCCGTTTTGCGTTACTTAGATCTTACACCGTTACTGATATTTGTTTAGCCATTTCCTTCATTCGGCGAAGATTTTATTTTTCGTCTTTACGCTACTACTCTAGCGTTCCAACTTACCGCTTATACTTCTTAGTTTATTATGTTTGCTTGTTATCAGCTGTCGTTTTATTTTTCCTAATGATTGGTTATTTGAGCTTGACGTAATTTATGAAGGTTAAGTCAAGCGACATCTGATACCTTAGCGGTGAAAAGATATAAGTAGCGCTATTTTATCTTTCTTTAGCTCGTACCAGTTTTAAAAAGTTCATTAGTCAAGCCAAACCAATCAACGGGAGAGGGTTAAAGGTAGTATGGCGGAGGTTAACGAGCGTATGCGGGTCTGTTGTGTGTGTCAAGGGGAGGCCCCTGTGGCTGACCTGAGAGGCATGGAGCGGGACCCGGCGCTCGGGTACTTTCGTCGCCTGCCTTGTTGTTACCCGGTGGACGATGCTGAGGCTACCGACCACTGGGTTCACGAGGCATGCTTGCGGCGCTGGGAGTCTGCGCACATTTTGCTCAAGTGCCCCAGGTGCCGCGCTCCCTTAAACTCTCTAGAACTTTGGGAGGACGAACCCATCGAGGGAGACGACCGAATCACTTTTCGTTATTGGGACCCGCGTCCCAATCCCCCGGAGGCCGCACCAGCAGTTGAACCGGAGGATTGGGAACCGGAAGCTAACCAACCCCCTTTCGCCCTTTACCCGCATTTGCGGAGACTTCAACCATATTTCTTCCCCGATGGTTTCGACGATCTTCCCTAAGTTCATTTGTAAATACGTAAAGAGTTTCCACGGATATACATATACATATATAGCCATAATCACATTTCTATACTTTAGCAAGCATAGGAAGGCCTTATATTCATTTTATAAATAAGTATTTTTTATATATATTTCTATCATTTTTTTTCGACATCTCAAATTTCCGCATTTTCTCCTGTCAGTAACCACCTCTCATTTTTTTACGTTTTTACTGATACACAGCTAATACCCAGCTTCCGAAATGCTTA